GGAAGCGCTTATTCCACTGAGCCATCTCCCCAGCCCCCAAAATATAAATATTTTTGATGAACAAATTTACTAGTAAGTTATAGATTTCCTTCATGTCCTGAGGGAGAGTAACATTTGTTTTATGTTACACTGGTTATGAATTCTAACTGTAGAAATGGGAACATTTTCTAATACCAGAGGGAGGTTTGATTTCCTTTATATAACTACGCGTCCACGATGGGCAGCGAGTATAGTACTACTGAAAGTGGGGTATTTCTTTACACAAGTGGATACAGGAAGGATTCTAATTTGAATATCTTGAATAGCAAAGCAGTGAAAGTCATTACAATATGGCTAATATTTGCTGAGCTCTTATCTTGTGGCAGTGAAGAACTCTACATGGATTATTATATTTAAACTGCACAAGATATTTTTATTATTGGACTTTTTATAGATGAGGAAATCAAGGCACAGGGAGATTATCAATTCATTTAAAATTATTTAACCTTGGTAGAGGTAAGATTTCAACTTAATTTGTTTTCTGGTACCCTGGGTAAGATACTTAATATTAGAGGAAAATTAGATATTTAATAACCTCTTTGAATACTGTTTTGTCTTATTAAGCTTAAGAAAATAAAGATGAAGCCAGCTCATTTGCCCTTCTATAAAAAGGCAGAAGAATGAACTTTGTCTCCATCCCTCGTGGATGTAGTGAGATGGAGTGGAGAAAGATCTTGCTTCTGAAAGACCAGGTAGGAGACGTATTCTCCACATCAGGGTTTATTTATCTGCCTGTTGATATGAAGGTAGTGACAGGACACATTGTGACTGTTACCAAAATAATGCATGAATAATAATTTATTTTCTCTGGTCAGGGACACCAGAATGCAGTAGGCCCCAGCCAGACGTTGGGTGTCCCACTGGACAGTGCTTGCCATAGCCTCCACAGACCGCTCTAAGGCTGAATTATGTTAATTTTCTAAGCAATTGGAGGGAATAAGAGGTGGGCTCTAAAGAAAAGTACAGCCAATGGTAGAAATCATTGGGAAAGGGTGAATATGCACTTAATACAGAAAGAGCTTTTGATTTGTAAATCTAATGAAAATATGTTAAAATATTTTTCTCAAAAAATTATAATTGAAATTAAAAAATAAATTTTGAAGGAAAAACACACAAGGTGGTACCCATGTTGTTAAAAAAATATAGTTTTAGGATCTGTACAGGGTCATTCATAGACTCTAAATTTACCAGCTAATTTACCATATTTCAGGGAAAATAATATATTTTTCTCATATAAGCAATGATAATTATTAATTTCTAAAAGTATTTGAGAAATATCAAGTAAGCAGCCCCTCTAGAAGGATGGGTTAATCTTGATGGATTACTGTGATGCGTTTCACTTGTAATGTGGTCTCATGCTTTATGTCTGAAATGCATGGCATAGAAAAGGTTCCCTTTGTCTATGTAGTCAGAGAAATGAAGCAGACAGAACGAATTCTTCAAAACCATGAGTGGAGAACCCTAGCTCCAGGCCACTGAAATACACACCTATGTAGCTGAAGGCTATTTATAACCTATACATGGCTCAGATGTAGGCTGGGAATGAGTCACAGGAAGTGGTAGAGTGGAAAGGACAGTGGTTACCCGCACCCTGTCATTGCTTCAGAGCTGATGTTTGAGCAACAACCTGAGAAGAGCTCCAGAGAGAAGCACCTGTGTCAGAACAATAGTATTTCCACTTTAAGAATCATAATCTTATGCAAACTGCTTTTTGTCTATAGTCAGTATTTTCTGTTAGTCAGGGGTGTAATGATACAGTATTTCATAATTCATTTTTAAGGCACCAGAAAAATATAAATCTTGCAGGAGTTTTCTGTACCACTGAGAAAATCATGAATTCAAGTCGGTTTAATTAATAACCACAAGAAAAAGAATTTATTGCTTTACATTAACATCAAATTCATATTACTGTCAGCTCTAGCTGTTTTAGATACAACTGGATGCAGGTGTTCAAATGAAGGTACCGTGATTCTGCATTTCCAAATTTTGAAGTAATTTTCTTTTCTTCTGGCCTAATTCCTAGACAAACTGTTTCTTTGCTGCTTTCAATGCTTCCAGTATCTTTAAGCTCAGGAAAGTATCTTTGACTCCCTACACTGTGAGAGTATCTTTCAGATTCTCTCAGAAGTCCAAAGGATCTTTCACTGGCCTACTTTGGTCAAGCATCCTCCTCCATAGGAAGACAAAACAAATACACTAAAATTGGGTTGGATCCATTAAAAAAAAGTTTTGTGAGACTAAAATCAATCCAATACAACAAAACAAAACCGATAACTTCACTGTAAGAGATACAAGGCCTAGAAAAGGATTTGGCACAGATTAAGTATTTCACAAATGAATATTCATAATTAAAAATAGAATCTAGATTTTTAAGTCCTCAAGTATATAGTTACCAGGTTAATGGTCAAATTTTCCTGGACCACACATATAAGACTATAATCTACTCACCCTCAGGAAACCTTTAGTTGGAGTGGATTACAAATGTGATGTTTGATACAACTGAATTTTGGGAAGAGAGACTATTCTGCATTTTGGAGAAAGCCAGTGCTTTTCTCCAAGGAGCCCGAATGTAGTCTGTTAATGATAGTTTTGTAGATAATTTTTAATGGATTATCCTAATGCTAGAAGAAACTGTACCATTATAATGAAAATATGGCTATAGACCACACAGGCATTTATTCCCACTTAGTACAATCAAACACAATAGCTCTCATCCAAATCAGCCTAAAAACAATATAACCTACAATTACAACGGTTACTATGTCTACAAGAGTATATAGTTCCTCAATAATTAAGGCTATCTGACAGACCCCTGAGTTGTAAGAGCCTATAGTTGTTGTTTATGACAGACTACGTTGCTTGTGACAGGAGCATGGCATCATAATGTGTGAGCGTATCAGGAATTAGGACAGTGTGCGTTGTCTTAACTTTGTGGAGTGTCTATTTCCACGAGTGTATAGGTCTTGAGTAAGTGAAGGTAAATAAAATAGAATCTACCAAATAGAGAGAAGGCCAAATTCAGTAATTAATTTCCTTTAAGAACTTCAGCTCAAAGAGTAAATATTTGTTTTTATTTAAAATTCCCATGAAATCTAAACATCTAGTTCTTTAGCGTATTTTAAATATTGAAGGATTTCATTTACCTTTACTTTTTCTCAGAGCCATCACAAAAACAAGACAAAACAAAAAAGAGGGCAATATTTTCCATGAAGATTTAACTTCTTGCAATAATAATTTGAGTAATCATTTTCTTTCATCTTATCAGCTAACATCAATCTTTGCACTTATGAGAAAATGACTTTCCTCAGTTCGCATTCATTGAGTATAAATCCTCCTCAGCAACCCAGTTGTAATGCTGGGAAGATGTTTGCCAATTGACCAAACATTAGCAACCCTGATCTTTAAAAGGTATCCATCTGGATTTGCTTAGGGGGGTTTGTCAAGATTTAAAAGGAAGTTAAAACCTTTATATTTCTATGACAAAATAACAGATCACACTTATTTAAAAATAAGCAAATGGCCACTTCAATGGGGCCACCATATTCCACTTATTGTAAGATTTACCAACCAGAAAGCATTAATAACAGGCAACTTTTATGATATTCCATTAACACTTTCAATCAAATAAATTGAAATTTAGGGTCAATATTATAGAAAGAACAGACTTATAATTTCCAGCGAGGAAGTTCTCTCTGTTACAAGAATTGAAAGACTAATGTAGTCACATGTGAAAGGCATCATCATATTCAAATTCTAAGTGTCACAAAGCTTTAGTCCCTGAATAGGATCCCCTAAAATGCCAATTCATATAATATAATACCCTGGGCTGCTAAAAGAGAAAGATAACAAGAGACATGAAAGCAGAAGGGGAGAGATAACAGAAGTTGCCATCATAGCAATTTCTGTGACACCAGTGTTGTGAAGAGAAGTGGAGACTGTACTGGAAGACAACCACAGGAAGAAACCGTGGAGCCATTTTTCTGCGGACGTTGCTTTAAAGGTTTGTGCTCTTGATGTTGGTGTCTTGGTTCCCATGCTGCTATCTTATTACTGAATCACATATCATCCATGAACTCCTTCTGGTCAGAATTAACATCCTCTGCCTTTTTCGATCCTTTATTCTTAGTCATCTGACCCCCTACTGGCTTTTGATTGCCTTCTTCTCCTTTCCCTCTCTCACTTTAATGCAGCCATTCACTAAGCTTTAGCTTTGAATGTCATAAAACTATTCCTATCTTCAGGAAACTCTCCCTTTGCCTTTATTCCCATGTGTGGAGCACATGCAAGGCTCCATCCCACTTAATCATGATTGCATGCTTGCAGCCTATGCCACTCATTTAGGTACCTAATTAAATACAGTTAGGTTGGTGTCTTCTGTTTGTATTAATCTGTGACTGTCTCAGTCTCTATAGGTATAGACTGCATTTGCTAAATTGAAGTAGCAATATTTAAAAATAAAAAATGTTCTACTTGGGAAGGTAAGACATGAAGATTGCAAGTAAAAAGAAAGCCTGGCTAACTTAGATTGTTTCAGAAAGAAGGAAGGAAGGAAGAAAGGAAAGGAGGGTGGGAGGCAGGGAGGGAAGGAGGGAAGGAAGGAAGGAAAGAAAGAGAAGGGGAGAGAGGGAGGCAGAGAAGGAGGAGGGGGGAATAGAGTTAAAATAAATTTTAAATTTGTTTTTGAGTCAGAACTGTGTTCAAAAGTACTGCTGCTTATAATTAGCTTTTAGATATCACTAAAGCATTCTGAACCCAACTTTTCTCATTTTTAAAAGGTAAATAAAATGCCATACTAAAATAAAATGGCAAATATACATATACTGTATATAAATGTAGCATACAGTGACCCAAAGTAAATGATTTCTTCCTATTTTTAACATCTCTTACATCGTCCATCCTCTTAACAATATATTGAGCTCAGTTTCTATGTTTTGATTGGTGTATTGAAACTGTTGGGGTGTACTACAGTATTCAAAATAAACCCTCTACTATATCCTTTCAATTTGCTAAGTTTGAAGAACCCTTATGTCAATAACTACTTATATCACTAGTAATTTCTATTTTTAAAGAAAGTTTTAATGCCAGGAAAATAATATGAGGAATATTCATTGTTTCTTTTAAATATTAAAGGTTATCTAAAGTATTATTTTTTAAAAACAGAGTCTATTGTATAAAAGTATAGTATCTGATTTGCGTGTGACAGTTCACCTACTTTGTGCTATTTCATTTGGCTTTTCTTATGCTTGAGCAACTAAAAGACTTACAGATGGTAAAATTCACCATGGGTATATGGCCAGAAGGAAAGAAAAATAGAAGAGGGGATCAAGCAATTTATGAAGATAAAATCTGACACCCTGATATAAAATCTAAATATTGTACATCATATTTATTTTTCCTCTAAAACGATGAGGATTAAAAGTTAATGCATGAATGACAACATCTTCAGTGAAATAGAAGTGTCCTTTAACCTCAAAGAATCCAGGTTCTGATCAGTAATGTGGAGATCATTATTTATAATAGCACTTACTGGTAAAGAGAAAGGAGTGAAACCTTACACTGGCCCTCAGCTGTGACTAAGGCGGGTTTATTTCTGATTCCGGAGGCCCGGGGTGGAAGTCATGCGGTGATTCAGAGCATTGTGATGGGCCAGCTGTCCAGGGTCAGAGCTCCTCTGTGTGGTCCCGCACCGCCCGGCCAGAGGAAGACTCACTGGAGCCTACACGTCAGATGTTCTCTGACACACCTGGCACAGTGTCAATGCTAATGAGAGACAGGAACATGTATTTAATTTACCTTTACTACTTGGAAGGCAGTTTTCACCGATTCCCACAGCATATACGATTGCAATGCCACACTGGGTCCAAGTAGTAACGGTCCCACTAGTGCTCTGAATTACCTGTGTTATAGTTGTCTAGTATCTCGTCCCTTTCTTTTCTATACAGTGAGACCCTTATGAGGCAAGGGTTACATAATCCTCTCTCCAGTATAGACTATATAGACCAGTGTTGCTACATAACAAGCACTTAAAGTCTTCACTGAGTGAATGGACAGTGTGAAGTGATTGATCTATGATCCAGCTTAACCACTATGAAGAAACAGAAATTATTGCCTAACAACAATGAAAACAACAGAGTTCACGAATTTGAGGAGAAGTCTTTAAGATTCAAGTCATAGACTATTTGCTGAGATCGATAGTGGTACAGTATAATAGTACAATTTTAAAGCCTTGAACTGAAAGACAAAATTTTTCCTTCAATATTGTGAATGGTATTTACGTGAATCATGGCAAGTCCATGCATGAAATATTCAAACTGTTCTTTGTTATTACATACTTAAAAAGAAATAACAAGTGTATTTGTGCTTCAATATCTGGATCCTGACCTGCACAGCAGAGAGGTGGAGTATTGTTTTATATCTAGAACGGAAAGTCGGGCGTCTCACCAAATGTGTCGCAGTTGCTTCCATGGAACATTGTCGACCAATAGGAGATTGCGAAGAACTTTTATGGAGAGTATAAATATTTTGAGCTGTAGGCATCATTACCAGCTGATATTCTGTGTCCTCAGGACCAGCTGTTCAGGAGCATCCCGGACCACAGCCAGGCACAGTTGAGAGCGATCTAACTAGAGACTGCCGCCGGCTCCTCGCAGCGATGTCGGTGGTAGAAGAGAGCCGACCGTTCGCTCAACAGCTATCCAATGTCTACTTCACGATACTTTCACTTTTCTGCTTTAAGCTTTTTGTGAAGATCAGTCTGGCCATCCTCAGCCATTTCTACATTGTAAAAGGCAACCGCAAGGAGGCAGCAAGGATAGCAACTGAATTTTATGGAATAACCCAAGGACAAGGTATGTTCACGCTAATATTCTTCTCTTTTGAATTGGGTGTATCATTTGACCTATAAGGCAATAAAAAATCATGTTTTCTTTCAAAGTGAATATTTTGTTAGACTTCATTAAGGAAAATACTTGGAACTCACTTCAGTGCTTCATGAAAACAGAAAAATGCTTTTCTATAAGCATTTGCCTTAAAAATCAAGGTGTAAAGTTAAATTGATGAAGATATACTATATTTTTTATTAATAAGCGACTTAAACCTTGAGCATTTAATTTGCCAAATCATGCTTTTAGAGTTTAGTTTTAGAGATAACTGATTGTATTTCCATTGTCCTTTAACATGTGCTAGCATTATTTCATTGTAAATCAAATGTTTGACTATCCATAAAGTAATTTTCCATAAAATATAAGACATAAAGATTTTATTATACATAATTTTACAATCTGATTCTAAAATCAAGAATAACAATGAAGAGGTATGATATGAGTTCCCGTAATGGGATTTTAATAGTTTATTCATATATTGATTTTATAATTGTTTTTGTGAAAACTCAGTTATAAAAGGAGAATACAAATTCACAAATTTCATGTGTGTAACCAAGTGCTTCTGTGTTTCTCAGAAATAACTGAAATATGAGGTAAAATGGAAACCAATAATATTAATCATAGACCTCCAAGTTTACAATGCCACTTACAATATTTTTGGATCAATAATTGAGATGGTGAGTTTCAAAATGAAATCTTATTTTCTTATACTCTTTCAACTCCTTTCTCATTTGAGATGAACCAAGTTATGTGTGAATATCTTATAGCTCAAATGCCTCTAAAGCAATTAAAATTTTCAGAATCAAAATGCAGTATGACACAATTGGAAAGTGGCAATTTTTAAAACAGAACACTCAGAGTAGAAAGCTTGCCTTTTAAAATCTATTTTCCTGTATTTTTCAACTTGTGACATAGTTAATGTTAAAGTCTAAGTTGCTCTGTTGGCACTATGAAAATCGAGAAAATCATTTATCACATGTGAAGTTGATAAAATATTTTTTTTTTTTATCCTGAAGAAGGTTGCTTTTGTAAAAAGTAAGGAATTTCTGTACCCACTCAAGGAGAAGACAATTTAAGTGCCAGCATGAAATTCTTCTAAGCAGCATGAAATCTGGAACAAATGAGCAATCTCCAGTCCTTTATCCACACCACCTTTGCCTCAGACCAGGAATAATTGTGCTTAAATATAATATCTTTACTACTATGTGACCCAACTAAAAATTTTTAAAAAATCATTCAACAAATATAGAGAATTTGATTGCAAAACAGGTAATAAAATCTTAAGGTCGTAAAATGTATTCTCACGAGCAGACTATAGCTCATTACTTTAAAGTCATGCCTTGTTTATATGTTATGAAAATTGCCTTAGGTAAAACAGTGAAATGTTGACTAAAAGGGGAAAGATTTTTGTGTTGATAAGGATTTTAGAGGACGCTATGGCCTCTCCTTTTTGTAAATATTCGCAGATAAAAGGAGAATTGTAGGTGAGGGGATAGCTCCTCTGTAGAGTGCTTGCTAGTGTTCAAGGGGATTTGGGTTCAATCTCTAGCACAATGCTCCCCTTTACCCCTAAACCCCCCCCCACAAAGAAGGCCATTCCCTCTTTAGCATAATCTCACTATGCAGGGAACTCATAGAAGTATATTCAATAGCTATATCATGACCATGTGTACCCTTATAATTCTATTTTAGGAAATGTTAGAACTCTAGAATTTTGTCCCAAGATTGAAGGAAATCAGTGCTCACTAATAGTGTATTTTATGGCACTGTAAAATGGGAACAAAGTTTTTAAATAGTTTAGTGTTTCCCTAATGCTAGGAATATTTACCGAAATTCTTTTCCCCATTGCCATAATTAATCTATACAGTTAAGAATAGAATATACAGCTATAGTTTTTTCAGTATCACCATAATTAGCATCCAGTTTTATAAAGAATAAACCAAATACCTTACAAAAACTCGAAATTTCTTATTAAAAGACCTTTCTTTCTTACTCAAGAAATTATTATTTTTTCTCTTATGGTTTTTCTTTTTCCTTTCACTATAATTAATTTATTTTATTTCTTTTTTATCTGTGGACTGACTACTCAGTCTGAATTATCTTTGTTTAATCCACCAGTTTCCTTGGAAAGATTATCACCTTTATATCACTTTAAATTAGGTTTCTCATTCCTAATTTCAAGGCTTAGCTAGATTGTGCCCCAAGTTCTGACATGGAGTTGTCAAATTCCATGAAACAGCAGATGATGTGTGTGTGTTTTTATGTCTTTGGTAATCACAGAAGACCCTGTTAACTAAATCTGGATACCCTCCCACGAGCACTAGTACTTTGATATGGAGTAATTTTTTCTTAATATTAATGCAAATCAGTTCACTGTATGAGCTAAATGTAAGGTAGTTTTTTTAAAACCCTTACCAGTCAAGTTTAGACCTAGGTATTACACACCAGAATATGAGGAAGCTAAGTGGTAATTAAAATAGCTTAAATTACTACCTCCATGATCCCTCTGGGATGCCGATGAACTTTACGAATCTGTATTTTCATGTCTGAGGACTTATCGATCATCCCATCGTATTAAAGAAGACTTTTTAACTATGTTTTTCTATTCAGCATCTCCTGTACCATTCTTACTGTTGTTTCCTGATTGTTAAATATTTTATACTCTGTATCTTAGAGTTCAAATCTATTTTTAAAGCAGACATTATACTTTAAGTTTAACAAGAATTGGAAAGTGTTTTCAACTGTGATATGAAACAGTTGAAAGAATAAGAAGACATTTGAAAGTGCAGGAGTATATTAATTTGGAAAAATCATTCCAAAGGCTTAGAAGAAGCCATGAACTGCTGAGATCTCAAGAATGAAGGACACATCAAGGGGCAACTTCTGTCTTCTGTCATAAACACTGCTCTCCACCATTTACACTGGACTCAGGAGAAGCTCAATAGTACTACCTCCAAGTATACAGAGTCAGTCCTAGGTATCTTCAGGCAGTGAATATACAGGATATTGATGAAGCAAAACATGTTATTCTCATCCTTGAGCAACTTATATTCTAATTGAGAAGCTTGTATGTCCACAGGCAAAGGTCACTTTTCAAATATAAGTGCCAAATGAATCTAAAAAATGAAACAATAAATTTCAGGTTCAGATTTTCATGAATAAACTTCATGGAAGAGAAGTGTACTTAAGGTAGACTTATAAGGTGTAATTGTTAAGAGTTAGACTATAAGACAGGTTTGGTATAGGTAGACCATTTAGGTCTTTTTACAAGAAGATGAGGACCTAGACTGATTGGGTGTTGAATCTGTGAAAAGAATAGACAGAACAACACAAAAAATAAAGAAAAAAAAAAAAAAACAGTGAATAAATCTGATTAGCAACACAGGCCCAATAGTTCCCGGCTATGGCCCCTTTTGAGAGGCTTGCCCTTGCTACTTGGCGCGTTTCATGGGCCATCTGTCTCTACCGTGAAATAGTAAGGTAAATCAGGAAGTTATAGAGCTAAAATCTGCTTTCTAGACTTACATTTGATTTATTTAATTTCCATTTTTCCTTCCTTTTATTTTTTAAATAGCCAAGTAAACTTTGGCTCCTTATTTTTAAAAACGTGTGCTGGGTTGCCCTGGAGGGTGCTTTCATCCATCTGACATTGGTTAGGACTGATTTTAAATTAGCACATTTGCACTGTGGCACTCTTCATGTTATTCTGTGCTCTTTGAGTTGTAGTAGCTCCAAGGTATGAATTTTCTAGAGTTTTACTGATATATAAGACCCTAAAATGCCATGGATCAGATATGGGACAGTGAAAACTTCTCAAGATAACGTGTTCTTGTGAGACGGCGTGAGAAGCGATCTGGTGACAAGGTACTTCTTTCACGGTGGAGGCTTGATGTGAAATAGGCAATTATCTGCAGAAATGCTTTTGCTTCTGTTTTTGTAAGTTTGGTTTAAGGATTTCCAGCAAGCACACAATTATTATTTCTGTATGTGTCATATCTATCCTTGACCTCTGAAAATAGAACATGATATGTACATGCCAGTTTAAGTCAAATACAGGAGAATTTATTATTTTGGAGAATGGTGTGACAAGGCTAGAAAAAGCACCTAGAATTTTATATGACATCTTCTATTTTCACTGAAGTGTATCCTCAATTTAAAACAAACTTGGAAGGAATTTAGCTTTACAGCATACGACAGCAAGGACAGCAGCGATCATTGGTATACCATTGGTGCTGTTGTAATGATTCTGCTTGAACTTCGTTATATGAGGACCATTTCTCCAAATCTCAGTCCTGAAAAATCTGAAGAGGCATTAGAAGTCTCCTTAAGCTCTTTAGCATTCATTATATAAATGTATAAAATATCCTGAACACATTTTAAACATAGTTTTCTTACTTAGGTAAAATAGTCTATATAAGAATAACTGAAATCAATAGAAATACTCTTGTTCAAAAAAAATTATATTAAACTCAAAATTTCCACGAAAAATATTTTTCAAAGGCGCTTAAATTTGTCCAAGATCTGTTATCTTGAGAACTGTTATAGCATTTATTTTGGAAGGAATTATTGTATCCTGTGAATTAAAAAATGAAACTTGGGAAAGTAGTTCCATATTTAGAAGCAACTGTCATATTTTATTGTGTTTTTGCTTTTATTCTTTTATATTTTAGGGGTCGGGGAGATGGCTCAGTGGAATAAGCATTTGCCTGGCAAGTGCAAGGGCCTGAGTTCAATCCCAGGTTCCACCAAAAAAAAAAAAAAAAAAAAAAAAAAAAAAAAAAAGAAACGCATGACTATTATGAGGTAAATAACATAGTTGATGGCACTTTAGGAGGGATCACCATGTGTCGCTGTGTGTGTGTGTGTGTGTGTGTGTGTGTTTCTTTTTGAGAGGGTCTCACTGTGCAGCTCAGGCTGGTCTTGAGCTCACTTTGTACCCCAGGGTGGCCTCAAACTCACAGTGATCC